ACAATTACATATTGTTGTAGGTTGTTGCCGGAGACCGTATATAATTGTCGTCTTCTTGACCACATTTTCATTGCACCTATACTACTCGCTAAGTTCTCTCAAGGAAACGTGTTTTTAGGCTTACGTATGTACCGAAGATGCGTGGGCGTTCTCATCCCACCTAATTGACCATAACCGGAAAACATACCCCCTCCGGAAGGCATTTTATTAGACATCGCGAAATATTTATGTTGGCCAGTTACGAATAGTGTCGCGCTAATGTGTTTGCTTGCTTGACGTACTATTTACGTGAAAGCTTACAAACTGGCTTGAAGACATGCCTTCGCACTGGAAGCTAGCTATCTGGAGCTAGCTTCTATGGCTGCACCGTACAACAGAACTCGATGTTTAGAACCTTTCCACACGAATCGGAATGAAACGATAAGTATTTAGCAAGCTTTTTGTCATAGGACAAAAATAAACAGTAGCCGATTGCGAAAAATGGCTTCGATTTATCTGAAGACAGGAGTATACTTACTTTCCTATTTAGCCGAGACAAGCAAGTGGAATTATGTGTTGTACAATTACACATTGCTTTTTTTTTTTCAGGCTATAGTTCACATCTGAGCTTCACCTGATAAGCACATAATTGATGAAGATCATTTGAGTCCATGTGTTATTTTCAATTGATGTTAGCTTTGCCTGGTTTTACCAGTAGACTTTACTGTTTCTCTGGTGAATGGTCCATTCTTCAAATCAAACATTGTGCTCCATCTATCGTGCTTAGTATTAACATTTTCCGCATCCAACAGAGCGACTGAACTCTCATTGATTGAGCATTTTGCCTAGCTTGTTTTTCCCAACTCGCTTGTCACGGAATCGTAACGCGTCCCGTACCCCCTTTTCTAATTGTCGCATTAGGCGCACTTTTCTAGTCAGAAGCCGAAACTTATATTGGTTAAGTTAAGGTTGGTGTGGAATACGTTTGTGCGATAAAAATTAGACTATACTATGCGAGGTAATTGTTACGTCCACAGCAAATATGTCCATAGAGAAAATATGTTCCAGCCTTTGAATATTATTATGTAGTGGCACAGTTATGGCCCTGGCATGTTCTAAACGGGAAAAAACCCTAGTTACTCTATTTAAGCAGCGAACGCTTTCTTTTCATGCCTACACCCGACAACAAGCCAACTGGTTCCACCGATCGCAGACGGCTTCATGGGACAACGTCCTCGTCTTCGTTTCTACAGTATGTGGTGGGTCTTTACCCTTAGCAAAAGGCTTTCTCATATGCTTCCACCCTATGTTCCTGCCGCACAGTTTCGTTTCTGCGTAGTGCTTCAGAACATTTTTGAATCATTACCGGAGTTTGCTTTTTCAGATCGACTATATCCTAAAAACCAGTATAGACAATAATCACAAACATTACTGTGACATATTTCTGCGGCAGAATATAGCGTTGGAACGAAGCATAGCTATTCAATAAAGAAAGAAGCGGAAAGTGAATGAAAATATGACAAAACGAAACTATAGCTATCGCGGCCATGTTTTAGCGCTGAAATCTTCCTTACGCTAGATCTGCTGTGATCAGAAGCTCCAGTCTCGACCAGTGACGCATCCTGTCACCGTGGGTATGCCTAAGGCGATGAGTAAATGTCGACAAGCACTCTTAATCAAAATGCATAGACTCGGCTGTTTGAACCATTAGCTTGTCCTGAGGTCTCCGAATGCTTACTAGCATTCAGAAACAAGGATTTCAGATCATGGATGGATGGTCCTAATATTTTTAAGGCTGCTATTCATTAATAGTTAGAATGATTTTAAGAATAGTTTCAAGTCAAGGTCATTAAATGTAGAATGGCTTAAAACTGCTTTTTAGTGAAAAGACGTTGCATTCTACAACAACTTAGTCCAACAAATCTCCGACGGTTTAATTGTACAAAAATAAGTTAACTTGTTAATACAGAGAATGTACAAGATGTACACTTTTATATTTTTTTAGTTTTCGCCAGTCCGTTGACAGATTGAAGAAAGAATTATACCTGTTATTTTTTCTGGACATTTTCTGCTAAGGGTCAGTGAAGAGGACAGTAGATAGCTCGGATATCTTAACGCGTGCCCCTCTCGCTTGGCATTGGTAACAACATTTTCCACCTAGAAAACACCTTCCTTTTTTTGGTAGGTCCCTCTAACGATTTCTATGTCTTAGGTCGTGCGCGCCATTCTTGTGCTTAAGTTTATATCTTTTGCATCATCAACGTTATGTTGCAAGGCACGCTCTGCTTTTTGTAGAACTCTACAGATGGCATCAGTTTCAGCTAACAGCTGGGAACCGTTTTGACTAATTCGACGTTGCTAAATTCAGCCTCCAGCTATTTATTTACTATGAAGGAATGCCGGTTTAAGAGATTCTATTTTGACACTGTGTATGTTCATCATCTATGTTTCGCCTGTGACGCATTCGCAGTGGTAATGTGAAGCTGTCGCTCACTGAAGATCAGTCCAACCGGATGATAGAAATCTTGCAATCTTCAAAGAAACGCCAAAAAGCGTTAAGATTAATCTACGGATCTACCTACGGATGATGCGTTTCACGCCGGCGCCAGGTCGTAGCCAGTTATAGAAAGAGAATTTTTCAAATAACCTCATTTTTTATAATGTTTCATTGATCACTACGGTGCGTTCTGCCCTTCCCCGGTACTTGCACGTATGAGCATCAGCGTACAAGATAAATATATCTACAGCGAAACATATGATTTATTTTAGAAACGTTTTATCTATTCAATTTCGAGTGTTGCTATCACTGGATGCGTTTAAACGTATTCGAGGACAGGTCCCAAAATGTCGGCAGGCGGTGTTATTTCACTGAAATAATTTTTGCTAATATTTTTTGAGAGCATCTTTTTGTTTTTACCTCTATGTCATACATAGTGAATATAAGTACGTCGAAAAGGACTAAGGTGGTTTTTGAAATAGACAATTTCGTAATGACGAAATGGCTAATCCAGGAAACGATAGAGCATAGTAACAATGGCTAAACTGATATTAGAAGTGACAAAGGAGTCTTCGTAAGCGGTGGATAGATTGGGCTTTTTTGGCAACGAACTTTAACTTTGCAAAGTTTTCAAGAAAGCCCATGGAGTTGCCAGTTATAGGGAGCTCACGCCGACGTCGTGAAGACAATCCAAGCTCCAACAGACAAAATTCTAACAATTAGTCAGGTACTTGTCAACATATCATTAGCCTAAATATTATTTCAATACTCTGGGAGTATATTCATACTGAGTTTTAATGAAACCAATAAACTCACAAATAAAGTAAGAGGCAGACATATCGCTCACTAAAAGCTTTTAGACTATCCACATTGTCAGCCTAATGATGATTATGATTTTTATAATAAATAATTATTATAATTATCAACAAGCTATGAGACAACATCCAGGCTGGCAAAAAAGGCCAAAGTAACATTCTGTTACAATCGTTCTTATGTTAAGAGAAAGCTGACCATCATACATAGGTACCGGTTTCACGGGATGTAAACGCAAATATGCCTATTGATTAGAAGAAGATATCGTTTTATTTTGTCAAAATCAGCCAGTAATGGGTTCAACAATTCGCAGGCAGGCGCTAAATGTCATCGTACATAAAAGTCCATACTTTACATATTCTATCCACCCTACAAGTGCCTTGGTAAGAGTAAACAATGGAAAACTATTTACTTTATGTCTCGAAGAAATAGAAGATGTGCCTGATCTTCCTAATGAAACGGAAGTTTCATGTTTATTTGCATCGTTGATTCGACCCAAACTGTAGGAAATGATAGGCTTCGCAGCAAGCGCCTCGGATTATATGAGCGCTAGTAGGCTTAAAACATTCGATGAAGGAAAACGACCTCTCTGCACCTTATCTATGATTGATTCTGTGATTTATTTTAAACAACCTGAAATCCACTTTGCAGATAAGGACACCTTCTATTCGTTACCATTTTATCATCTTTTTAATAGAGAAATGCTATAAAAAATATCGGCTAAATCTAAAGTAACAAAGAGAACTAAGCAACTAAAACATTTTATCTGTAAGCACTTGAGATTCGCATTTAAACGCGTTAACGAAATGGAAGTATAACGATTTTTATAATAATAAGATTCTTCCATGAACCTCTTTTAATTATTTCTTTCTATCTTCCTTGGGCTAATCTTGACCTCTAAATTAATTCTTTTGAGACATAGAGCTTCTGAAGCATAACCATATCACCTGATAAAATATTAGATAGAACAATTCATTTAAATTTCAAGCATACAGAACTTTGTTAAAATTCAATTCAAGTTAATTCGATGTGTACGCAATTTACGACACCATTTCGGATTGGTTTGCATTTTCAGACTTCATTCAGTGGTACGTACATGTGCTTTAAGTCATACTGCTTCAAAAAATATGCGTTCCCGAACGAATGGTAAGTTACTAGCATAAAGGAACATCTCTGAGAATAATAATAAGGGTGGCCATTTTGTCCGCACCTCATCTATGTCCTTTGCTTTTGCCAGCTTTGGCCTATGCGCAACTCCTCATATTTTCCTCGTCTAAAATAATTGGCCATCTCGAATAAACCCGTGCCCTTCGCTGTTCCTCAGCTAGCACAGCATGGCTATACCGTCTTCGTTGAGATTAGACTATATTTTGATAAGGAGGTCTATCTCTGAACCAAGCGTCAACCTTCACCCTCCGACCGCGCTCAGCCTTCGCGCCTCGATCATCAACATTATGATATGCATCATAATGATCAACAGAATGCTTTATTGTACTCTGATCCGAGAGACGTCGGAGAACAGTGGCTGTTCTTTAGACTGCTATAGATTAAAACGACCATACGCGTTAGCAGGTTCCGAAGGCAGGGACCTGACTTCACGGAGCGCGAATCTCCGCCACCGGCTGCTCATACGAGCTCAATGCCAAGGTTGACAAGGTGTCCACCCTTTCGCTCTTTCAACTGCCTATGGTACGGGTATACACCGGCCTCCCTGGAAGATATTGCACGTACGCACGCATCGAAAAAGAGCTTCCACGTTCGTTTGTGTCCTGCTGGCTGTTGTCTGATATACACTCCCTTTCCCATAAACCCAACACCTAACCAAACCCAGCGCGGATCGATGGTCGCACGACAGGTCTAATGATTCCACGATGCCTTGTTACTATCCTCACGATTATCCTGGTGTGTATATGGTTTGTACGTTATGTGAGATATACAGAGGGAGCGGAGAAACTGCCGAAACACAGCGACACCGACCCGTTAGTTGTCGGTTGCAAGGCTGCACTGGTTAAGATTGAGTTTCTCTTGTTGCCAGTTCTTACCCATTGGCTGCCACAGCTCTGAGCTGCGATCGGGTAGATGGCAACGTTCGACTCAGTTAAGCCGTAGTGGCAACCCTCGTCACAACGTCCATGATGTGACTGGTGCTGAGTTGGAGGACGACGGGTCTCACCCTGCTAGGGCTTAAACACATTCCCGCTCTTCAAGATAGGCAAAGCATACCCATACAGGCTGCCAGACGGTTACACACCCACAAAGGCCTACAACCGCCACCGCCATTACCGACAGCCGAGGCTATACAGTCAACTCGGGAGAGAACAACGGCCAGATAGGCAGCCGATTGTTGTGAACAATAAACGGACCCGAGTCACCCGCCACGCCAGCTTATGTATCCTGATACGATAGAGACCACGGCTGGGATACGCTGGCCACGTAGAACACCAACCAAAACATATTACTACTAGTGCTGCTTCTGCTACGGTCAACGTTATTGCTATAAAGCTGCCTCGGCTGGGATGTCGACTTGTGCGTTTAGCGAATTCGCGCCCCCTCAACGCACTCAGAGCAGACTAACACTTGCTTGAACGGTTCGCCCTGCACAGAAAGTCTTGCTACACGCTGATTCGGCGCGCTACACCATTCAGAACAGGAACTTCTTGTGTAGCACTAAAGTGCTTCTGTCTCTGTCCTCAGAATGCTGTAGAAGGGCTGATGCCAGGTAAGCGGAAACACAAGCAGGAGAATCTGTCGACGTGCAAGTTCACAGTGGGGAGCACACCTTCGAGAGCACACAAGCTTCACAAAAAGGCGTAGAAAGAATGTGTAAATCGTAAATCAACTTCAAAACTAGAAGTGGTGGTGGAGCCCTCCGAGGAACAAGATAAATGTTTCTGACCCCAAACTACTACAGCTGGATGATGGACTTGTTCTAGATAGAAACTGCCTGTGGATCACTAACGGTCGTGTGCTGTAGATGCTTGGCCGACCGCCCGGTCGACAACGTGTGATTGCGCCTCTATGTTGGGTCTGAAGGTTATCAGGTGATTGGGTCTCGGCGATTCTGCTCTATTACAGGCTGTTTGTACCTCTCCCGCTAGGGACACGTATCAAGAGTAAGAGTTAGCAGAACTCAGCTCTTCGCACAGGCTTGAATAACTACTGCCATTGCTATCGCAAGTAGTACTGTCGATGCCTGGTGTATCTGCAACGTGCGTCATTGATAACAATTACTTTGCTCTGTGTAGCGTACGCTGGGCGTCGTGACCATTCTATTATTGTTCCGCTCTGACGAGAGAAAGAGAGTGTGACCTTACGTACTGAACGTCTACCGGTAATGTAGCTGGTTGCTTGTGGGAAATCGTCGACGCTTTCATTTCAATCGGTTTGAAAGATTCAGGGTAGCCTCAGACCAGCATAAGGTGTCATTGATTATTGCACATTGGCTAGAGATTCTGCGCTGCTTTTCCGTTGTTTGTTTTTACCTTTTCGCCGCCTATGGTCTTTTAGCGCGCTCACCAGACGTGCCATGCAAAGTGCGACGATCCATGCGCTCGTGACGGAACCATATGAATGCTGTTCGATCGTGTAGTCTTTCGTGATCTGTGCTGTAACAACAAAGCAACACAATAACAATACCATCGAACGCCTCGTCTAACTGCTATTCTATAACCAATCTATTGCTACAGCCATATACGGTTGCGGGTGTGATACTAGTACTACATGTGAGGCAGAATCCGCTAACGTACACACAGTTATACACATACGGAAAATCGCACTAAGGCAGTCACCGTTGTAACTGTCCTCTACCCTGACACCAAATCTACTCCAAAGCGAAAGCTGACGTGACGCGGGCCACGAGCGCAGAACGGGAAAAAAACGAGGATATACCACGAAAATACTACGAATTGTGTAGCCCACCGGTATAACCAACAAATCAATATTGTACCTTCCTCACATAACAAACGATCTCCGGTTTATGCGTGTGTTTATTTTCACCCCACCACCGAATGCATTGCCTTCTCTTAAGGATATATTTTGTATTCTGCCTATGGTAGAAAAAGGCAAATCATATGACGAAAGCGAAGCGCTGAATGCTAACGGTAATGTAACGAAGTTTGCGAGTTCGCGTTGTGCTGCTGATGTTAACTGTGATCTCAGAATCGCAATTTTTCGAGCGGATTGCATAGTCCGACCCAGCAGAATTAAGAGTTTCGCCGAGCGCTGTTCCGCCGTCGCTGTCAAAATAAAAGAAAAAGGAGAAAAACATCGCTGTATAAGCAGTCCTCTGATAGGATACCGCCAACCCCACAGGAAGTCCCCAGCAAGAGGTTCCATATCTCTTTAAAGCGTACGGTCATCGCCATCCATATCCTGAAACTCCGACAATAAATAACATCGAAACGAAAGTAAAGCTGAGTTACTGCAAATTGTCACAGAGAGAGACGGTAGGTGCGCAACCAGTAGCGTAGCTTTCCTTGCGGAGTCTACTTCGAAAGCAATCACGTAAGTCGCTTATACCTGCATAAAAAAGGAATACGTTAATTTCCGATACGGAGACAGCTACATCAATAAGGTGACTTTGGCTAGCGCTAATCGCCAAAGTTATAACCGGTTTTCTTGCTCCAGCCCTATTGAATATCTCCGACAACAGCATCACCAGTGACAGCAGCAAGAATGGACCCATCGACAGTGAGATCAGCGCTCAGCGAGATGGCATATCTGCATGTGCCGGACAAGGATCGCTCTAAGAGCCCCTCACCAGCCGATTCGCTCGCATCATCGGCTACCGACATCTCAACGCTTCCCATTCACGGACGTCACGGCTCGGACGGAGAAAACGTGAGTAAACCTCACGTGAATACAATAACGTCAATGATATTCAAGATCATTCATTCGTAGGGAATTGAAAAATGTTTGCCCAACAAGATTGTTAACAGCCTATCAGCCTATTATTGGTTTGGTGCCTATAGGCCTCTTAAACTACGGATAAAGTACACTGATTATACACTGAGTGTACTGGTTGACAGCCGTCAATCAGGACCAACAAAATAATCATATGAGAAATCAGTGATACCGTCCTGCCGTTAGAGGAAAGTTTGCGGGAACTGTGACGTACGAGTGTAACCCCTATAGTAGTATATCGCTGGTCAACGATGTGCGTAATCAAACTTTACTTTGTGCGTACTTTACGTCTGTACACACAAGATACGCTTACTAAATATATTGTAATCTATCCTATTAGAGGGAACTATTATCAGTTGTAAATTGACCGACTGCTTAACGGCTCAAGTGAACAGTAGGGACGTGCGGATAAAGACGCCAAGGGATTCTATATATCGGTTTAAGTCTGAAGCTCTTATGGGAGATTTCTCTGTCAGCAAGAAGACACGAGTGTCTTAATGGTCCCTATTGATATCTTTTACATCAACAAATTCGTTTAATTACGAGGATGTAATAAAATTAGAGTGTCTGCCTATATATACAATGAGGCTGAGAGTATAGTCGTTTGTGTACCGGCGCGATATCAATAAACACATGTTCTTTCAGACGTTCCATATTTTTTCTGTTTTTCTCTAGTAATTGAGTTGGTCGCGACAACAACGCGAAACCTCGCCTCTTATAGCGCATATTCGACTTTATCATCCCTTGGGCTTCGCGTGATCGCCTATATAACTACTAGAGATACTATCTCGACTGGGTGCCAACTTGTTCCGAATTAATTTCGCTGTTACTCGTAGAATCATTTGTCCATTATTTTCCTGAGGCTAAATACGTTAAGACAAATGTGAAGCCACCATTGCATCGGTCTCCACTAGCATTTCGCGAGCTTCAACAATGTATGCGTGTATTTTTCCAACCCTACACTTTGAAGAGCTACAGGCATAAGCGACCTATTTTTCCAAAAATTGTTGGACTTATCCATGCGTTGGCGGATCATTTAATTTATTAAAATCTTTATAGTAAAGAATGGAATACCGCTACGAGATAAGGGGCCTTATAACGTCGACTCATACATATCCTTCCACAGTGTATTAGTTACACAGAAGTCTAAATTGCCGATGCGCACCAAACTATAAGAGATCTTTTTTTAATCTTTTCTGGACAAACTGGAACTATTCAATCATTTGTTCCTATGTACAGCCTTTCTCTTTTATCAGCCTTGTCTGACAGAAGTTCCAAAAGCACTTATCCAATTACCCTTAGTGTGTTGCAGGACTTGAGTGAATACCTTTTAAGAAAGCTTTTCATTTTCTAAAACTGCCCGTAAATGCGTACCCTCATAGCCGCTCAAAGTAGTTCACTCAATCCAGTCGTTATCGAGTAAGGAGCGACCCAGTTTTGTTTGTCTGTATTCGATAATATAGTGTTCCGTTTTAAAGACGACGAACGTGACGTTTCTGCTGATGATAAATATTATGGTGATTGTCCTTATGTCTAGAGTCCCATAAAAGAAAAAGTCTCTAAAAGATAAGTATCGATGTTTTTTAATCTTATTTACTCGTTCGAAGATACTCGCCTCTCGGTATCTCTAATTAATAGTCGACAATGATGTGTAGACGCCCGCAATGAACTTTATAATATTCCGTAGACCAGACACGCTAATAGTGAATGTTGGGTGTTTTGCATGGCCGGATAAAACAGACATACTGGGTCCGTAGAAGTACAGGCAACTTTAGGACTGAATCAAATAAAGTAGCGTAGATGACAGGCAAACGAATAATACTTAAAGAATGATGAGATGTGTCGATAAAGTCTAGGCTCGGTACACATCGATACTGTGCCAGTTTTGCCGATCCTTCTAACCTATTTAGCCCAAATAATATTATGGGCGGAAACAGATACGAGGTGTATATGAGCCTCGCTGGGTAAACGTGGTAATTTTAGTTAACGTTCTCTCGTTTTTATGTTGCGACTTCTTCCTACCGTTGTTACAATAAGCATTCAAGCTAGTGTCAAAAAATGATTTCTCATTAACTAGGAAATCTGTTAAGATATAAAACACACTTTTCAAATGAGTACGATGTAGCCATAGCAAAGGAAAGCTGTTAGCATATTATTGAGCGATACGACGATAAAACCCATAAGAGATCGGCGTTATTTCTATGTCTTCCTACTTTCGAGACTCACTTGCTATGCCTCTGAGGATTTCGCGGCATCTACTTATACACTCAAAGCCTCAAATAGGTTTTGCCAGCGAGGGGACGGCCTAAGCAATATAGCAGATACTGACGGAAGTGTCGATCTTAGCAAAGCTCAGGAACTTCACTTTGCCTAATGGTCTATGAACGGAACAAGAGGTCTCTGCTATTGCTGCAACGATGCGCCAGGGAATTCGAAGTAGAAGCAGCATTGCCGCACCGAGATAATTAAAAGTTATGCATATGCTGCTATTGACAAAATGGTTCTCGTTCTTAGCCGGTGTTCGGGCCCAGTCGTCTTCGAAATTCTGCTATTGTCAAAAGTGGCTCTAATATGAGCACATCCAGCATGGCGGGATAGGGTGTCCTGTGAATCTGTTGCATAATATAGATCATGTAGATTTGTCCTTGCCTGTTAGGAGAAAAGCATTCGATATTTTTTTTTATTAGCAAAAAATTACATGACTGTAAGGAAATGATAAAATTTTCGTCTAGGCTATTAGGAATTGTCTACATAGATAGTTTTTCGGGACCTGAGCATAGGGAAATCAAGGAATTGTCATTCTAGCAGATTTTGCTGTGAGGTGTTTATCCTTTTCTCACGGTTTACTCGTTTAGAGCCCACTGGCGCTATTATGCTCCGTTCAAGAAACGAGTCCCACAATGGAAACTGGCACCGGAGGCCGCCAGACGCCCAGCGTTTCTGTCCAGAAATCTGTCGACTAGAAGAAGCTGAAATCGTGTCCCTGTTTCACTAACAGCCTAGATCTAATCGTATACAAACGGATATAATGAGTGCTAGATAAGAGAAAAACAGAATCGTTATTAGAAGGCAATTTAACCGACGAGTTGGCCGGCAGTAGGAGCCGTCTGATGATAGATCCCTTATTTTAGCTCCCGTACACTTCACCGTGTACGCCGCCATCATAGTACCGCCACCATACGCTGGCATATATTTAACAATATATCACTAATTCGTATTGAGATTTAATACAGATTTATATATGCATGAATTGAGCAAAGACGATATTAAAATAAGAAGGCACAGCGAGTATGACGCCAAATTTTGCAGTCAGTTAGTCAACTGTGAAAGATTACAGTGCAAAATATTGATTGTCCATAGACCAATTTGATAATGTTTTTTCGCATAAAGACCTTATAAGTCATAGTTTATTAGGTATAAGCTTATTAGGTAATTCACTCTAGGTGGTAACCAAGAGGCTGATATTTAACATTACACAAAAATTATTTGAAAGCTTCTATGTCCCTTTTTTAGGTCCATCTAATATATATTCACACAATATGATATAAAAGATATAAATAATAGAAAGGCGTGTGCTCCAGTCTATGTAAAAAGTTGGACGAAGTACTTATTTTTTGTTTTATTAACGCTATCCAAAAAAGTTGGAACTATGAAGCTTATCTCGCTACCTAGAAAAAACATCAATTATCGTAAGTCGATTTCTTCTTTAATTCTAATGAAGTATCAATAAAAATCAAATTCCTTCTGAAGATGAGTGTGTAGTATATTTGTATGTTGTCTCTTGCCGTCATCGTTAATGCAGTAGCAAGCGGATCTATTTACCGAAGTTGAATTTACCATTCTTTCTTTTACGCAATAAAATGTTTCAATCGAAAACCTCCTAATATAAACATACACCGGAAATATCGCGCGCGCTCCTATACTTCATTTCAGATACATTAAAGGCACGGCCTTTTGAAAGTTACGACAATACCATTGCGTGCGTGTATGTCTTGTAAGGCTTTAAGCCAGTTTACCGCTTCCTTGGCTATTCACTCTTGCCCATCCAGCGTGGCTCTGGCCTGTTTTTTGACCTTACGTCCATTTTTAGCTGGTAAAGTGTCTCGTATCTGCCGTACTGCTAGATATGACCAATGCGCGATTTTGCTTAGCCTGTCGTCTTCATCTTCGCAAAATTTCCATGATCCGCTACCGCGCCCCCAAAAAAATAGTTCGTTTACCGCTTTGTTATTCTATATCGCAATTCCACATCGTCTCCTTCCTTTCCTTTTTTCAAACGAGATGTCGATTCTTGATGTTGGGGTGCAGTTTCTTAAGGTGTTGGAGAAAACGGACTCGGCGCGCACGACGAAACCCCCGACGTCCGTTTTTACTTTAAGGGGCGATGAGTTATCGCAACCGAGGGCGAGATATTACGACAACTGTTCCGTAATTGAATAGGCATAGATCAAGCAAAAGTAGCCGTGTTCGACTCGTAACCTCCTATTTTGTCTTCATTCTTTTGAATTTTGTTTGCGGCAGAGTTGAGACATAAATATCTGGACCTGCACTAAGCCCTATCTGCTTTCTCCTGCCGTGTTCGATTATTTCGAGCAGATCTAGTGAAAATGCTCCGATTATTCTTTTAATACCACTGTCCCTATGCTCTATTTTAATACGAGAGTGTTGGTATAGTGACGTTTTTTCTGCCTAAATAGTTGAGACGAATTTGTGCCGCTGTACATTTGACGAGCATTTTTGTTTATAGTTCGTCACCATGAAGCTTGGAGTCACACATAGAATGCAGTCTGCGACGCAGTCTACCCCTGGAGTACGGCCAGGTCTCTTGCAGACTGTCTGTACTATGAACTGTTAAAAACTGAATTTAAATATGCCTACTAATATTATTTTTTTCTACGCCGTGAGCCATCCTGGCCTTGCAGGTATATCAAAATGCCGGCGGGGCGTACATACCTGTGGTCTTCATCTTTTGTACGACATTGAAAAAGGGCAAAACTATAGAAGTGGTATAGGGATGCCTCTGGCGCATCGATGTAATGCTTCTCTCAAAGCTGTCGACCATATTGTAAGATTGCCTTCTGCTGGAAGTTTTTATTTCGATATAAGATTATGTTCAATCCTCCATTCGGTAGTTATAATATCTATGATCTTCCTGATAGCTCCACAATATGTGTACGTATCATACATTTTGTCGAATATTTACTATAAGTCCTGGGAGCTAACCTGCTGAAGCATTCCTGGCAGTAACAACAAGTAACGATCCACATACGTTATTAACGCTACATCCAGGACATGGAATTGTCGAAATATGCCCTGCCTTACGTTCTGACGCTAGGCTAGATCAAAACCTCTTTGCCTCAAAGAAAAATTGCGTATATAGGTACCATAACATATGATTCAGGAAGCTGGACGCACAGTCCGGCAGCTATGCAAGGTATTCATCTTATGACATGTCAAAGCTTCGGCTTATGGTCAACGAAAGCCCATTTGCTTCGCCCCTTAAGCCCCCTATTATGCAAGAACCTTAACAATTCGAGACAATCTGTTTGACTAAATCCATTTTGGCTTTCGTAGCTGGACCTCCTTAGGATTCACACATGCATGCAAATAGCACGCGACAATCAAGGATCTTTTGTTGAGGTTCCAGCGCAGGCTTTTACTAGCTTTGGTCAATGTAGGACAGATCCCCGAACTTTCGTTTTTATAGCGTGAGCGTCATGGCACATCCTGCATTGTTTGGTCTAGGAGCTAGCTGGCCTGGCAGTTACATGTGCGGTTTCTGTTTTAAGAAAAGTCTCCATCTTTCCAACCGTCTCAGATTATAGATATACATATATATTTGTTTCTTCCGTACGGATTGAAATTTCAGAATACTAACGCTTCCTGAATGGACATCCTGTGGTAGAACAGATAATGAGTTTTAAATAAACATACATTTAAGTTACAGCCATAGGAAGCCTATAAATTTATGAAAATAAGAACGTACATTTTTTGAACGCACTCAGATTTTCTGTGATGGACCGATTCGACATGTCGCCATTTGCTCCCAATAGACTCTGCTGGTAGTGAACGTCTCAAGCAGTGGCTACATGAGCATGTAGAATAAGCTGTCACAGCGTGTATAAAGGCCAATCGTGCACACTTACATACACACATACATATCTATCAATCTGTATGTATATAGAGCTGGGTAATCCTTGTTCTTGTGCTCCTACTTTATGCAGACACATAATAATGACAAGTTAGTAAAAATGTTTCTTCATTCACAGGAGCCACTGACCGGCCGAAGAGTGTTTCTCGAGCCGAAAAGCAGAGAATATCACCAGGTAATGAATGGTATGCAATGAGTGCCTACTAAGTGTGATCGCTGTTCATAGTACAAACATTAAACACAACTAATCTCGCTTGTGCCTGCGTGTTCGCGTGTTTGTGTATGTGTCAATCGAAAACAGTCGCGGGACTTTATCGCATTCATTGGTATGCCGATGCTAACGATACAGAAAAACTTACAGGTATCTATATGTGTATAAAGGTGACGAATAGAAAGTGGAAAGATAGGGGGATTTAAAGATATTTAGAGAGAAGGGGATGCATAGAGATCACAATATTTTGTCTGTCGGATCATATTCCGAGAAATAAAAATGCTGTTTTCATTAAGTTTTTTTTAAATTTCTGTCCCATGGGTAATAAGGCTAATCGTTTTGTTGTAAATAAGTGGGACGGCATTCTTATATTCTATAACAAGCCACGAAATAAATTCAGAGTTGCTTAGGAAACATTAGGAAAGCTCGCGTATTTGACGACAATGTAATCTTAGATAACCACGTGAAGCTCACTGCATACTTGAATGATCGAGGTCGTACGACGCCGGTTTTCGTTACCTATTTTTTCTTACGTTAAACATGATTCGCTGGATACGTTTTTCAGCTATTGCAGCAACTGATAGACAGACAGACAGAGAGACGAGCCACTCGCAAACGTAACATAGCCAAAGGCTGTTTAAATTTCTAAATTGACCGAGTTGTCACTTGACAACAATAGCACCACAGGTGTCGCTACTTGTTTTCCGAACTAAAGCGCCATTCGTTAGCCACTCTACGCGCGCTTTTATCTTGTTGTTTGCCTCCATCATTTTGACCTGTGCTTTTCTAACTGCATCCGTTCACCTGTTCTATCTTTCGTTGACAACTCGATAAACGAATGGACGAACGTTGGTTAAACTGAGACCGAACAGAGCAACAATTTGAGAATAAGCGACATAGTGAATAACCGTTATACCTGCAACCTGCACCGTGCAGCTTTCTGCCTACAAACATACAAACACTCACAAACATACAAATACACAGAGAGATACACAGTACCAGACATCGTTCAATATTGTCGCCTTCGCCTCTAACTTTTTTGTTCTATTCCAAGGTAGACTTCCATATGACTTGCTATTCCTCCATTATTCGCCGCAGAAACAAAAACACATATACAGACATAGGGTCACTGGCTATTTCCATATCGACAGACAACGCACATGGCTTTATATCGCCCGCAGTTTTCTGCGACGCAGCTAATCTTTGTAACGTTTAGGCGAAGAACAAAGACAAGACTGCGACCGATAGATGTGTGACTGGTTCGTAAGCCAGCAATACCGATTGAGCTTACTTGCTTGGTTGATTACCTGCGCAAGTTTCGCATATGACTTGGTGTTAGGGTTTCACAAATAATCACGATAATCGGCCGACATCAGGTACTGCCTTAGGCCACCTAGTCAATCATACGCGTACCTTAAAGGACTAGCCTTTGGGTACTGGTGCTGAGAGGGTAGCTGGCCGTCATCAGTCGCCTCATGGCTTATTATCGTATACGGAACGGTGCCATAATGGTTATAATGCGCACACGTGCTCTCTGTAAGAGAAAATGAATTTAATTGCGTTCTATATGGTTGCTTGATATTCTTTTGACTTACCTCAGAAGCCAATGGATAAATCACTACAGAGCGAACGGCTGTGCTGTGCATATATGCATGCTTTAAATAGTGTGGGTCACATTTGATGGCAATGATGACTACTTTGCTAAAAGAAGAAGGTGTAGGCTGAAATGCAGTTGTCACAAGAATTGCAATTCAATATTAGAAAGTACATGGAAGTATATATATATATATATATAGTATGCACTGTTTTAGGATCCAATGAAATAGAAGATAGAGCAAACTGCGAAATTTTAAAATTGTTCGTATATAGAGAAATTAAGCAACATCTGTGTGAAGATAGTTTTTTTTTTTTTTTAACGAAATCAGCCATTATCGCAGAAACAATAAATCTGTTTGGGGGGTTACGCGTAACGAAAGCTTTACCTAAAGCAACAACTTTTATTTGGGTTCATTGAATATTCTAGCTCCCGGAAATGGTGTCTGAGATGCTCCAGCCTCGGTCTAATGCCATAACAACATCTAATAGAAGCATACTGTGCACACTGAAGAAGACAATGTCTTTTGACCCATAACGAATCGAAGTATTTCTGTCGATAGCCTTCTATAAGCTAAGAGACAGCAACCCCGATGGACGCCATTGGCATTGGGAGGTTGAGCTACCTATTAAAGAAGCTTTGTTGAAGACTTTTTAATATCTCAACGCCAGCGGGCTTGTTCGTTCGCTTTGCGCGCGCGAACAGACCAAACTAATATTAGGCTCATCGAGCGTTCCGGCCTGCAACAGCTTGTTGTAAAATTTGGTCCTGGAGATGTAGCATGGTTACACTATGGGCAGTGGAATAACAAAGACGTATGTGTATTGAACAAGAAAAAGTTGAATAAAGTTATCGATTAGAAAGAACCTTAAAATAGCAAAATGTGCTCATTCACAAGTTTTTAGAAACGAGGCCCAGTGAGGTGAGCTGATTCCCCTGAGAGGTATACATTTTTGGCATTATGCGGAACTACGACCATACGACAATCGAGGCACGCGTTTATAACTATCCACAAAATAAAAACTAAATACATTTTAAGAAATATGTCTCTCCGTTTTCCTAGCGTTGTCAATCTTTGTATATCTTCCTTGAATAAAATAATAGTAATGACGTGATTTCGTCAAAGTTTGGTGTGCTTTTGTCCTGCAGGACTCCAACATACACGTTTGGCTTCAAGCCCTTAAAGTTTTACTGTACGGTTAGGTAATCTAGCGACATAAGAATAACTATCTCTAAGGAAAAATGCTAAAATAGGACTTTTAGAGAAGGGTTCACAAAGATAGATTTGCTGTGTGCTTGTGTTTTTCCGATATGAGATGAACTAAAGGATCGGAGCGATGCAGGACAGCTTGCGCTAACTAGCTGGCTTTAACTGAGTTTTTAATTTACTAATTTTTCATGACAGCGGTCGTGAGCTTGAATCAAGACGTGCTCTGTGAATAGGCAGCTCGCATTTTGCATACGCAGAACGTACGTGCATATATTTAATCGAGAGTTGTCTGTCTATTTTTAGCATACCAACTACATAGGCTGAGCGTATACGGTATAATAAAAATGGCCCATGCATACAAAATGGTTTATATCGAAGATTCGAATCACCTGACTGTTTCGAGAGATGATGTTGAACATCTTATTGGATCATTTTAAAATTCATCTCTTGGTAAATAGCGCGCATAGTCGTCAATAGTGAAGCCTGCGTAAACTAATTGTGTGACAAAATCCAGGCACACAAACGGGCAAGACGTTATAGTGAAGAGGATGCATAATACGATCCCAACGAGCGGCCGCCTAAACATCGCCGCCGTTACCAAAGACCAAAATCAAACGTCGTTCGCCATATTTTTTTTCATGGGCTCGTTCGAAATGGAAATTCATACTGGGTCCATAGGCCATATTCACTGCGACATCCAGCGTTTCACGACGATAGGACGTAGAAATGATGGCCTCGCCGCGTAGACTCATCCGAACGAGCCACGCCTGCCCACGAACTATAGAGCATGGAGTGTAGCAGTTGGCTATCAGCCACGAAAGATTACCCGCCTGCTGCTGTGGCCACTTGTTGACACAAGCACCGACAACAAAAATAAGGCTTGGAGAGAAGCAATGTCAAAAAACTCGAAACTCTTTTTCAAGTATAAAAAAAACATAAAAAGAAATTAACAGTGGAAACGCAAAGTGTGTACCTAGGTAACTTAGTACTCAGAATGGTACTTTACGCGATGACGACAAACAACTGACAAGAGGGCAAATAAAAAGAAAATCTTACTATATAATCCTTTGAAATAGGACTAGCCAAAGCGTTTGCTGAAGAACGTCGACCGATGGCCAGTTAATGATCTGGTTGAAATGTTTGTATTCGACCCCTGTTGAGCCCCATATGATCTTATGATAGTAGTCTGTAGGCATACTCGCCTGTTGTTTTATGTTGTATATGCCTTTTCTGCTGTTATTAATATTTCGATTGCGCAGCTTTTTTTTTATTGGGAGAAAATAATGTATATGGATAATCAAATGGGCATCTCTGAATATTCGAATAACGGATGGTAATCCGAGGGACAAAGACGACCTTGATAAATTCAAGACGTGGTAGTGACGATGCTAAGTCAATTTCAGGGTATATATTTACACAGAGGCAGCTTGAAAATATATACCCCACGTACTTTCGGGGGTGAAGCCAACTGGAATCGAGATCGAAAGAACGAACTTGTACGGTGGCTGAATGTGGACAGCACTCAGACACGAAGTGCAGATCATGAGACAAACAGTTTTATATATTTATATAAATATGGACATTTATATGGATAGAGTTGACTAAGTAAATTTTCTTCAGTCGATTGATCATTAAAGAGAAAAAAGGAAAGTCCGTCCTGTAATTACGTTACCTCGCCGTTAAAATATGTGGAGTCTATATACACACATACTTTCTCTCTCTCTCTCCTCTCTCTCTCTCTCTCTCTACAAGACGGAGAGCACATATATATATATATATGTGCTCTCCGTCTTTCGCACTCCTTGCTACTAACTTTTTTTTTCAATTTTAACTTCGCGCTTTGACAGTGGAGCGTTTGGTGATATTGTTAACATTATCATGAACGCGGCCGGCAGTCAGCAGTGTTTGCGAAAACAACGAGAACAGCGCGTCTGTTCAATCGACGACACCACGTGCTGTTTGTTAGCATAAAAACTAAGCCTGCAATGTCGTTGACACTATTTACTCTATCGGGACCAAAATTGGTAAAAAAAATAGACGGCCTGTCATAGGCTACTCCCCTTAACTCGGATTGACACGTCATCGGTACTAGTGATCTTAACAATTGTTATGTAATAGAAAAATGCAAGTCATTATGATCGTTATTACATGGAATAGGCA